TGAAGCACTCTCTTCGCAGCCTCGATTTCCTCGTCGGATAGCTGAATCTCCGAGAGCTTCGCGGCGATCCGCTTCGGCCCCATCGAGGCGAGATGTCCTGGCACCGAACGGGATGGTCCGAACTGGCGCCAGCAATGCTCGATGGAAAACGGCTGCAGTGACGAGAGCGGTGCCATCCCTCCAGAAGGGGAGGTGAGTCCAGGCTGCAGCAGTTGAAGCTGCAAAGAGATCGTCGTTGACAGAGGCCCACTGGACAATCACAAAACTGCAGCCTCGACCCTGGATCCCCTGAGTACCGACCACGGAAACCTTATTCAGAGAGAACTGTAGTTAGTTACATGTGTTTCACACAGACGGGCTGGACTCACACGGACCCCGAAAGAGACACATAATGTTCAGGATCGACTCCTCCGAACTTCGTTCGCCATCAAATTGAATTATAGATTGAATTATAGCTATACTTTAATCTATAGTTCAATCTATAATTCAATCTATAAAACCATGTATATATGTATGAAAAACGTGATTGAATTATAGATTGAATTATAGATTGAAGTATAGCTAAAATTCAATGTATAATTCAATTTGATGGTTCGCATGTGCACCCTGGGCATTGCACTGCATGGTTGTGAACTCGCACTGCAAAAATGGAGCACACAGTTTTCAACAGTACAGCAGTCGTTGCCAGCGGGATCTGATCTACAGGGCGGGGCCTCGGCGAGCGAGCACGCGCCGCCGCGCTCGGCGACGGCGCATGCGAAACACTATCTGGACTCTGTCCGTGCCCATCACTTCGAGGACTGACTGCAGATTGGCTGATCGTCTGAGTCTGTGCCATCGTCATCCACACCTCTGGGCGGAGCAGCTGATGGCCTCTTCCTGCTCGCCTGGCCCTTGCCCTTGGCCTGCTTCTTCGCCGTCGGGGTCTTGTCGGGCTTGTCCTTGCCCTTGGCCTTCTTGCCCTTGGAGCCCTTGCCAGTGCTCGTGTCCTTGGACTTGCCCTTGGTCTTCATGACTGGCTTCGCGTGCCTGCTCGATTTGACGAAGAACTTCTTCTCGTCCACCTCGTCCGCTGCATCTCGGGCCTCCTCCGTCTTCTCGTCGGCGTCCTCCTGCAACTGCGGCATGTACGGCTTGAGCTTCGCCGCGCGCTCATTGAACTCCGTGTGGCTCTCTTCTAAGGTCTGGAGCAGTGGTTGCATGTTCTCCGTGTGCCAGTTGATCCCGTTGGTCCAGTTCTCGAAATGCCCCATGTCTGCGAGCAGCCTTGATGCATCATGCTTGAGCTTCTCGGTCCACCTGTTGTCACCAAGCTTCTCGATCCAGCCCTGCGCGACCATCGTCGCGTCCGTGATGTTCTTCAGGCGAAGTGACGCGCCCTCCACGGCGACGACGAACTCATCGTCTTCTGAATTCGGACGCTCATCACGCTCATCATCTGCAGGTTCCCGCCCATCGCCGTCGTCGCCGCCCTCCAAGTCCACGACCTCGGAGTTGAGCGTCGGGTGCGCCGCCTCGCCCCGCTCGCCAGCTGCGCTGTCACCATCGCCAGGCTGCTGCTGGGGCCGTCCCTCGCTGGGAGCTGCTGGTGGCATGATCTCGCCATTGCTGCCCAGGCGATGGCCTCGCCCTCCAAAGGCGACAAACTCACCAGACATAGAGGGAACTAGGGCACCCCAGAATGATCTTGGTTTGAGCCGAGAGACGGCTCTGGAACGGACGTGTGCCATTTGCAAATCCCACCAGCCCTCTGGGCGTAGGTGGTTAGGGAAGTTCCTCTTGAGGCCCCTTGGGGGTCTAGGGAGCTTCTTCAGGGCCTCTTGGGGACCTCTTGGGGCCTCCTGGGCGCCTCTTGAGGCCCTCTTGGGGCGCTCTTGGGGGCCTTGGGAGCGCTCTTGGGGCCATCTAGGAGGTGATCGATCAAAGGAAGGGGGCTAAATTCGGCCAAAACCCTAGTAAAATCGATGATGTTGGCTTCCTCGCCGAGGCCGTTTTGGACGCTCCAACTACCAGCGACCCCCCCCGTCCAGGTCCAGGGGAGGGGGTTAGGGGGAGGGGTAAACCCCTCCCCGAAGGGGAAGAAGGGAAGATGGAACCCGAGGCATCCAAGAATCCCCCAGGCGCTCCAAGAGGACTCCCAAACAACTTCCAAGGGACATCCTAGGAGGCTCTTGTGCACGTCATTGTTCGTGTTCCTTCTCATCTTTCTCATCCTCCTCCCCCTCCTCCTCCTCCTTGTCGGCCTACTCCTCCTCCGTCTCCTCAACTTTATCAGCCTCATCCTCCTCCTCCTTTCCTCTTCTCTTCCTCCCCCTCCTCATCCTCCTCCTCCTCCCCCTCCTCCTCATCATCCGCCTATTCCCCCTCCTCCCTCCTCCCTCCTCCCACTTTTCCCACCTGCTGCCCCTCCTCCCCCTCCTCCTCCTCCTCATCCTCCTCCGACTCCTCCTCCATCCTCGCCCTCTTGGGTAAGACGGGTCCCCCAGCCCTTTGCTACTCTGTATGCTCCCTCACTTACCCTGATCACCGCAATTCGCCTGGGCATCGTTTTTGGATGGGCTGGTGGGGATACGCGAAGCGTCAAGAATTTCAGATCACGAGGTAAGGCCGCTAGCCACCGTGACGGATCTTTCGTTTTGCGGACTTGGCTCGAACCCCGGTTGGATCTGATTGGGCCCCGAGTCGAATTGTAGATTGAATTATGCGTTGAAGTATGCATGGTTCAATCATTCTTCAACCGCCTTGTTTTTTTCTCGTATGTCTCGGTGCAGCGACCCATGTCCTCGGATGGGCTGTTCACGCACACTGAAAAATAGTGGTCACATAGTGTTTGATTCCTGCAGCCCTAAACTGTCTCCCAAAAGTCAAAGTGTTTCTTCGGAAACATTCGCGAACGCGGAGCCAAAGGGGCTCTCTTGAGAGGCCCTCACCAGATCACGCAAGGCAAAACCATCGCTCGAGACATCCTCGACAAAAGCTGAGCTGTCCTCCACGCGATCCCCCAGGGGAGCCTGGAATCTACAAGATGCGCCCGTCGCTTGAAACATCCTCAACAAGTTCCGTGGACGGTGTTTCGCTTGGGACACCCTCGACACACGAATGCAATTCTTACTCTTTAATCTGACTGTATTTCTATGTTCTGCGGGCCTGCCCTGCGCTTCGAGGTGCAACCCAGACATTGCCTGCAACGGCGAGCCCCAAATCGCCGAGCAGCGCAGCAAAAAATAAACTCACTTGTCTTCGCCAATGGCCTTGAGCCAGCGCGAGACCTGCTTGTTAGCATACTTTGCCGCAGACTCCAATGCTGTCTCCCTGGGCCACCCCATGTCGAGTCGGCATTTCTTATCCATGGCGCGCGCTTTGGAATACACTCGGTTCCTCAGCACAGACAGGCGCACGCCCTTGATGCCGATGTAGTTGGCAATTGGATCGACGGCACTCTCGGTGGCATCGACCTTGCTCTTGGCTGGTGTCTTGCGCTTGGCCGTCGATGGCACCTTACGTTTGCCCTTGCCCTTGCCCTTGCGCTTCTTGCGCTTGCCCTTGGCTACATGCACATGCTGCTCTTGTCCGTCTTCAGAGCCCTCATCTGCAGAAGAATGCAGTGGCACGGATGGTTTCGTCTTATCCTTCTTGGTCTTGTTGGTGCTGGCGTACTCCTGCGGAGATGGCCCTGTAGGTGGACACGCCGCCAGCTCGGCCAGAGCTGATGCCGTCAGCGGAACGGCCCCAGGTGTCGTGGTGGCACTCGTAGACGGCTTGGATCCGAACAGCTTGCGCTCCAAGTCATCTTCGCTGCTCACGGCGTCGTCTAAGCGAACCTCCTCGGCTTTCTCGTCGTCGCTGATCTCGACCGTGACGATGTTTTTTGGGGGAATCGGCACAACGGTCGGGGCGTCCTGCTTGTGCGAGAGCCTGCGATTGCCACCGTCGTTCTTCACGAGCTTCATCGTGTCCATGAGGATCTGGAGTTGGCCGTAGTTTCGAGGGGCATCTTGATCGCGACGCTTCCTGTCAAGAAGAGTCGACAGCATCGTGCGGAGGTTCAGCACGCACCTCTCTATTTCTGTAGGCGTCAATTGCAGACCCTTGCCAGCAATCCACTTCCTGAGCTGGCGGTTGAGCGAAACCTGGTGAGGAATGAGCCCATGTGAAGTCATGAGAATCGCGTGGAGCTCATCGAACGCCTTCTTCAAGGCTGGCCAATCAGATGTCATCCCATGCGCTGTCAAGCGCGATAAACACCACAGCTTGTCTGGGGTGCATTGCGACATCTTGATGTGTGAATCGAAGATGCGCTCGGCATCGTCATCTCCGAGGTCGCAACCAGGGGCCCGAAGGGCTGCCATGCTGAGCCAAAGTGGCTATGCAAGAACACGGTGGCATCATTTTTTTTGGGGGGGAGGGGCATTTGCGCGCGTGTGGTGTGGTGTGGTCCAGGCATCACAGGAAAGAGAACCTTCAGGCCAAAGCACTCCCCCCCCTTTAGAAACTTCTGACCAACATGGGCAGCGTGGGCAGAAACAAACTTCAAAGACACACGCACAACGCAAACCATTGGCAGTCACACACCAAAATCAGGACAGCCCAGGGAACTCTGGGACGGAGGGGGACTTGGGTTTCGGATTTGGAATGGATTTCCCAATCGATCGTTACGCAGAAAATGTGCGTGTCACCCGTTACGGCGTGGCCTCCGATTTCTTAGGACACGGAGCGTTCACGACTGAACTGTGGCTCCTCCTCCAAAATGGGGCTCTCGCCTTGGGGCCTCTTACGGCCTCTTGGGGCCTACGAGCCTCTCAGGGCATCTTGGGGCCTGTGGGTCTCTTGGGGCCACATGGGGCGTCCTTCCACTCTCCTGAGGGCCTCTGATGGCAAGGATGCGGACCCTGTGACAATTGGAACCCATGATGGCAAGGATGCTGACCTTATAGCGATTGCGTGCTTCAGTGCAGATTGCAATGAATATTGATTGCGTTGGTGATCCAACTGTTTTTACCCGTGCACGCATCGCTGCACGTCCCAATAGCATAGTTCATCCAATCGCTTCGTCCCCACGCCGTCGGCGGGGAAAAAACTACAGCCTTCGCGTCTCCACGCCACTGGTGGGAAAAATACAGGCTTCGCACTCGCATGATGAGCCGCTCCCTCACTCAGGCCGCGCCGCGCTTAGGGAAAGCCTGCTCCAAGGGCCCAGCGGTCGACTCCGCCAACTTGCGCTCGAGTGCCTCGACCTTTTTCTCCAGCCAGAGAGTCTTGGTATCCGTGGGCACCGCTGGGCTGCTGCCACTGCTGCCGCCTGACAGGGGATCCACCCACAAGGACGGGTCCTTCTGCTTCCAGCCGTAGTGCACCCAGGAGTTCGGATCGCCAGCCTTCCACGGGACCTGGTAGGGGGCGCCATCCTTCTCGATCAGGAGCGTCTCCTCGCCCGTCTCCAGCTTCATGATGATCGCCTGCTCGTCGCTCTGGGGCTCGTTGTAGTTCTTGTCGCTGGTCACGTCGACTGTCTGGTTCGCCTTGACGTTGATGAAGCCGTGCTGCTTGCTGAGCTCATCGATCATCTTCGTGAGCGAGTCGATCTGGTCCTTTAGCTGATACTCGTACTCCGCCTTGGCCATCTGGTCCTTGACGTCGTCCGCCTTGCCATGCTGCGCGCGCACCAGGCTGAGCTGGAGCATGCGCTTGTGATCCTGCAGCGTGGCAATCTCGCGGGAGATGCCAGCGCCGACGTCCTTCAGGACAAAGGCCGTGCTCTGAAGGTTGACCTCCGCCCTCCTCATCACATGCTCGTAATTGCCGACGATGCTGCTCTGAAACGGGTCGCCTGGGACAACGCCGCGGAAGTGGCCTTGCGTCGATGCCATGAGGGCTCGGGGTCGAGCCCCGAGAGAACGAAGACGAAGCCTCGAGGGAACGAAGATGAAGCCTCGAGGTCGTCGAAGCCCCGAGGAAGAATCCGTTGGCTCGAGCCCGAGACGCTACTGTCGAACGTTGGGTTTCTTGTTGCCCACTCTCACGTTTCGTGACCCAAGATACCCAGGACACCCAATATACACAAGATACAAAATATACCCCAAATACCCCAGGTACCCCAAGATACCCCAGACACCCAAGCCACCCCAGACACCCAAGGCCCCAAGATACTTTCAATATAGCCAAGATCCGCTCGGACCCGTAATTTGGATCCCCGTGGCATTTTTAAAGGAAAACCATATCTCTTATGGGTTTTCGTTATCTTTTTGAAGGATTTATGTGTTTTACAGGTGGTTTTTAAAGGATTCCGCTTGATTCTAAAGTTATTCTTCAAAAAGCAACCGTAAAATCATAAGAAACCGCAAGAAAGTAAAGAAACCGCAAGATAATGAAGATGTTGATGGTCGGGGCGCCCCGAGAGCCCCGGGCTTGGGGGGGCGGCGCGCCGCCGGACGTGTGGGGCAGGGCGCAGGCGCCCGGGAGCGCCAAGAACGCCTACCACGCCCTGCCGCGGGCAGCCCCGCCTCCGGAAAGATCCCGAGGAGGCGCGCGGGGGGGGGGGGGGAGCAGGAAGGACGGGAGGAGGACCAATCCATCGAGAGCAGAAAGAGCCACTAATTAAGCCTAGTAGCGCGACGAAGACGCGGCCTCACCGAGGTAACGCAGGCCACATCCTACCAGCTACCAGGACCTGAACGAACAGGGGCCATCACAGAGAGACCTTGGTGGAGTTTTTCGAGCTGCCGGCCGCTGCGTCGGGAATCTCGCTCGCCTGCCTGACCTTCGCACACTTTCGCTGGAAGTGACGCCGCTGCGTCTTTGCCATGGGGGCCCCCGCTTTTAGGCCCTCCTTCGAGCGCTCCTCTTCCTCCATCTCCTGGCGGAGTGTCCAAGCGGCGGACTCCAAATTCGCTGGCTCGGGCCACGACGGATCCTGCTGCTGCGGCCCGACCGAAACGCACCCTGGCCCTCCACGATCGCTCCTGCTGCTGCCTGTCCCAGCGGTCAAAGGCCGCTGCTCCCTGCTGCAGTGGCCGGGCGGTGTCCAGCCTGCAGTCGCCGAGGAGAGCTGCCTCTTCTCCAGTCTGCCGTCGCCAGCCAGATCCGACGCCGAGGAGCGGTCCAAGGAGGGGTCCGACTTGGCGCGCCGCTCCACGGTGACAGGAGAGAGATCCACGGCGACGCGCAGTCCAGAAAAGTGTTCTTGTACACCAGGCCCTTTGGCCACGCATCTGCCATGGGTCGCGCGCGAGCCCGGGAGGTGGGGCGCGCAGCCCGGAAAAGAAGAGCCCCCCCCCCCCCCGCCCGCCGCTCCCGTCCGCGGCCTGAGCTGGAACGGCCTCAGGGAAGGAGGGATACAGTGGACGCGTACGACAAGAAATCTTGCGGTGAGAGAATCTGGGTGCACCTGCGTCGTCGAGTTTTGCTCGATGCATACAAGCCCGCATGATCATAAACTTTCGGAGCTCGGCGCAGAATTTCTTTGATCCGTGCTGGACCCCATCCCTGGCGCGCGGAGCGCGCCAGAGGCGGCGCCAGAGGCACAGCCAAGGGGGCCCAACGCAGATCTAAGAGATCTGCACGGAGCTCCGAGAGTTTATGTTTATGCTGCTTTCTCTTATTCGGTTTGAGTCTCCTATGGTGCCCTGGAGCTTCTACGGCCCCCCCCCCCCAAGGCCATCAGGGGATAAGGCAAAACGACCGTGGAGCACCTGTTGGCAGGCGGGTCTCTCCCTCGACGCGCGGGAGGAGGAGGAGGGGGAGGAATAGGAAGGGGAGGAGGAGGAGGAGGAGGAGGTGGAAGGTGGAGGAGGAGGAGGAGGAGGGGGAAGGAGGAGGGGGACGAGGATGGGGGGAGGAGGAGGAGGAGGAGGAGGAGGAGGAGGAGGGGGGAGGAGGAGGGAGGAGGGGGAGGAGGAGGAGGAGAAGGAGGAGGAGGACAGAGGAGGCGGAGGAGGAGTGAGGAGGAGGAGGAGGAGGGAAGCTGGCCAGGAGGGAGGAGGAGGAGGTGGAGGAGATGATGAAAGGCGGAGGGGAGGGAGAGGACGAGGAGGAGGAGGAGGAGGGGAGGAGGCGGACAAGGAGGAGGAGGGGGAGCAGGAGAAGGCGGAGGAGGGAGGAGGAAGAAGAGGAAGATGAGGATGAGGATTGAGGATGAGGATGGTGAGGTGATGATGATGGTGATGATGATGATGATGATGATGATGATGATGATGAGATGAGATGATGATGAAGATGATGGTGATGAGATGATGATGATGAGAAGGACGGAGGAGGAGGAGGAAAAAGATAGGATAGAGGAGGAGGAGGGGGGAGGAGAGAAAAAGAAGGGAGGGGGAGGGAGGCAGGAGGAGGAGGAGGAGGAGGAGGAGGAGCAGAAGGAGGGAGGATAAGGAGGAGAAGGAAGGGAAGCAGAGGAGGCGGAAGCAGAGGAGGCGGAGGAGGAGGAGGAGGAGGAGGAGCTGGCCAGGAGGAGGAGGACGAGGAGGAGGAGGAGGAGGACGAGGAGGAGGAGGGGGAGCAGGCGGAGGATAAGGGAGAGGACGAGGAGGAGGAGGAGGAGGAAGAGGAGGAGGAGGAGGAGGATGACGAGGAGGAGGAGGAGGAGGAGGACGACGAGGAGGAGGAGGAGGAGGAGGAGGAGGAGGCGATGGCCAGGAGCAGCCACCCCTGAAGGAGCTCTGGACGCCTGAAGGAGCTCTGGACCTGGCCTCGAGCGGATCTTGCTCGGGGCCTGGACGAGTGGGGGGGCGGCCCTCCCAGGAGCGTCCCTACCAACGACGACGACGACGACGACGACGACGACGACGACGACGACGACGACGACGACGACGACGACGACGACGGACGACGACCCTCTCCCGCGCGCTGCGCGGAGGGTGCCAGGATCCGCCAGCATCGCACCGGCACATGGGATCGGATCGGCATCTGCTCCTGATCGAGCTGCCTAGGCAGGGCACCGAAACCGAATCGGATCGGCTGCGCAAGGGTTCACAGCGGCGCCGTGCGAGCATGGGGCCGCATCGGATCGTCGGAATAATTGGCTCCTGGACCTTGGGGCTTTCCCTCAGGACGAGCTCGCCATCCCGAGTCGTAGTCGTTCTCTGACAGGCCCGAGGCCCGTGGAGGGCCCCAGGAGCCCGAAAACGGCGAAGAGACCCGCTTCACTCAGGACCCGCTTCCCCCATGGCGAGAATGTTTGTCCAGATCGAATCGGATCGGGCCGGCCGGATTCGACATCGAATCGGATCGATCGGCTCGAAGTGGGCCCCGGTACGGGGCGTGGCCATCGAGGGGCACGGCCCCTCCCGGAGCAGCCGCAGCCCGCGCAGAGGGAACAGCGGCTTCCGAGGACCGTCGAAAAGTGCCCCCGCCCCAAGTGAAATACTGCACGCAAAGCAAGACGGCCCCCAAGAGGCCTCTCAAAGGCCCCAAGAGAGGAGCCACAAGAGCGCGGGTCAAGAACACTAGCCCCCTCGCCGAAGGCCCAATGCCTCCTGGAGATGCCCGAAACGAAGCACCATCCAGGCTGGAAAGCCCGAGAGCAAAAGGCAGAAGTCGGCGACGAGCGAGGGGAGAAGTGAGAAGGAGAAGGCCTTCTCAGAAGGCGGCCGAGTGTCTCAGGAACTCTCGCGCCTTCTGAGAAGTTGTCTGTGTCTTCGGGGAAGGCTTAGAACATTTGTCAGAAGGCTTGGGAACTTCCGAGCCCTCTGAGAAGGCCCACCCCTTCTCACTTCCCCCCTGGGCTCGCCGCCGAGAATTGATTGACCTGCTCCATCTCCACCGTGCCCTAAGGCACGAGTTCCTTGGAGTCCTCAGTCTTCAAATGTAGAACATATTGCGGGCCCTGGTCCCCAAAATGCACAAACTTCCAGGGGGGTCGCGCGTGCCCAGAGGGGGAACGCTAATCGACATGTCGAGCCCTCCGTCCCAAGATGACCCCCGAGACCACTAGCACGCCGCCAAGAGCTTCCCACTCCGGTGGGCCTTCGGTCGATCCCGCCGGCCACTCGAAAGGGCACATGAAAGGTCTTTCCCGTCGGTGTTCGGCCCCGTAAGGACCCACAAACTTCCCAGCTTGCTGGTCTTTCCGCTCCAGACGGCCCCAAGATGGCCTTCAAGACGGCCAAGATGGTTTCCAAGACGGCTACGACGGCGCAAAGACGGCGCAAAGAGAGCCCAAGATGGCCCCAAAATGTCTCCAAGATAGGCCGAGATGACCCCAAGATGGCCTCAAGATCGCCGACGACGGCCCAAGAGACATCCGAGACGGCCCAAGAGGGCCCGAAGAAGCCAAATCATTGATGTTTGATGGATGGGGCGGTTGCTCATTTTCGGCATTGCAACGGCCTTAGACGGCCCCAGAGACCATCAAGATGGCCCCGAGAGCGCCCAAGAGGCCTCCGAGATGGCCCGCGACTGCTCAAGAGGCCTCCAAGCCCCAAGACGGCCCAGGAGAGCTCCGAGACGCCCAACATGGCCTCGAAGACGGCCCTAAAGCGCCCCAAGGGGGCCCCAAGTCGGCCCAGAGGGCCCCTCGAAGACAGCTCTCGACAGGGGCCAGGAACGCCCTCAGACTGCCAAAAGCCCTAAGATTGCCCCAAGATATCTCGAAGATGTGTCGAGAGGCCCCTAAGATGGCTCAAGATGGCCTCAAAATCGCATACGACGGCCCGTGAGGTCTCGAAACGGCCCAGCCAGGAGGCCTCCAAGGCAGCCTCCTAGAAGGCCCCAAGGAGGCCCAAATCATGGAGTTGCCATAAGTGTGTTCGACTGATTCGGGCGTTTGCTCATTTTCGGCCGTCCAGCTTCTGACGACGCCCCCAGAGGTCACCAAGATGGCCCCAGGCAGAAAAAGAAAACAAAACAAACATAAACATCAACCTTTGGCGCTCCGCGCGGATTTCTTGGATTCGCGCTGGGAGCCCCCTGGCGGTGGCGCGCTCCGCGCTTCTGCGCTGGACCCCCCTCCCTGGCGCGCGGAGCGCGCAGGGGGCGGCGC